ACATGAGGCGTTCGGCAAGCGCTTTGAGGAGGGACTTGCTAAACTATTGCTTTAAAGTGTTTTTTCCTTGTAACGTCTCTGCCTTGATATCAGCCATTTTTTAAGTTTCTGATTGCCCACTCAATTTCGTCCCACGTGACTTCAGGAACGGCTTCTGAGGGCAGTGTGTAGAAACTTTCGACTCACTCCAACTTCGAAAGAGTACAGGTTGTGATAGAACTTTGTGCAGATAGCGTTGATCCGATTGCGATCATTAGTTCTTGCATCTCCTAAGTCTTTCATGGCACAGAAAAGTCCGTTGTTCTAGGCGAATATCTCGTTCCACAGCTTGTTCGCCGTTCCTCCGCTCCATATCTTCTCATAATCCAGTTCTCCCGGAAGTTTTCCCTCAACTTCACGCGGATCTCTTAACATAAGGCAGTGTACACACTGTTCATTTTCCCTTCGGTTTTCAGTTGGGCTCTTCTAAACTATCCTTGTTGGAGGACTGATGCGTTGGTCACTGGTCGTTGAATCTGCTGTCCAGCTTAATGTTCTAGCGAGAGTCTTGATGGTATTGACCATATGGTCATATGCCCTGGCTGATTTTCATTTCAATGGCATTAATGACAGTCTGGATCGACTTGTCGTTCTGCACAAAGAGTATTATTTTAACACTTTCTTTGCGTTCTTGTTTTGTAACATTGATCATAACCGTGGAACGTGAAGCCGGTAGTATAGCTCTTTGCAGGTTGTATTCTAGCCCTTGATCGACATGTCGGTATTCAGTGACATTCTGTCTGGACTTTTCCATGTCCACTGTCGCTTTGGAACTTTCTGGAAAACGTAGTTCATGTCATGGAGGTGGTTGTTTACAGCTAAAGTTGCGAAGCGATCTCCATGTTCGTTTCTTTCACGTTTTCCGTATATTCCAATAAATGCCTTTGTGTCGTTCGTTATTTAACTATCACTGTATTGAAGTCTCCTTGGACAATCTTAGATGTAATTTTCTTTTCTATTCCTAGAACTGATCGATTTCTTCACCTTCGGTTTGTTGTGTTGAGTTGTGAGTTTAAATTGCTTTAATTAACCTTCTTTAGTCCATCTTTAGAAGCCGAATTGCTATGCGAAGTAATGTAATATCACAGCTCGGTACAAATGATACAGTCTTCTTCTTTCTATCGCTAACTCAAACTCGCCGACCCGAGCTCAAAGACCTCCCTACGGGTTATTTGGCAACCGTGGACAATTGCGCAGCAAGTCCGGTAGATTTTCTTGACTCGCATACTCTAACAACGTCCGTCTTCTAGTTTTTTCTAAATGCGTTTGTTGATGGCATTCTTGCCTTATGGCCTGCCATGAAGATCCTGATAACACTCCGGGTCCATTTACCAATCGCCTCCTGTGGTCAACCGTGCCGTAGGTGTTGTTCAGGCTGACGCAGTAGCCCACACCTATTTTTCTGATTTCTGTCTACCTTTGAGCGTTTTTGTCAAGTAGTTGTTTGGCAGCTCATTTGGGGTGTCAGCCCTCGTAAACAGTTGCTAGTCTCGGCAATTTTCATCCAACACAAAGGATGCAGAAAGTGGAGCACTTTATGATGTTTCGATGGCGGAAATGCATCATTGGCTAGTGGCGGGTAACGCCACCGTTACAACCGACCGACGCGGCTATCGCACCACTTTCAGCATTCACATAGCAGAAGATTATGGGTCAAAATTAATTAAATGTAAAGTATTAGTTTATCTAAAGATATATTTTCTTCACCTTAATCGTCCATGGTCGCTTTTCCTTTCGGATCGCGGAGGCAGACGCGTCTGACAGTGCTTCCAACGTTCCAGATTCTGTGCCAGAGTCTGAGTTTCGGCAAAAGACAAATGCAGTCTGGAACAGACTCCTTCCATATATTTGTACCAGGTTAATCTTGGCTGTCCCCTGGGTTTTCTGTCAGTCGGTTTGGCAAGAAACAGTTGCTCAGTCTTGTTTCTGAAGGCATTCACAATACGTGTCAAAACCATTGCAGCTGTGACTTCTCAATTTGGAGAAGCAAAGAATGTACACCAAGGCTCTCCCGATGTCTGTATTCCGGATCGTGTCGAGGCGCGTAAATTTCAATCAAAATCTAGTATCTAGATCCCCTTGGAATCTTCTTTTCAATAACACCACTTATCTTAAACATGATTAAATTGCCAATCAGCGAAAGCTGTTTGACCTATCGTGCATTTCTCGTTACAAGCTCATCGCCATGCTGTTGTAGCCTTGTTCTACTACCTTCTTTTTCTTTATCTTCCATAACCGCTTCTCCTTTCGGTCACGC